TTTAGAACCCACCCCTGTATGGATACCAATCCCTGGCTCAGTGCAGGAATCCAGAAGAAAGCATCCAGACAGCTGGCTATCTAGCTGTCAGGCCTGAACAACCAGACCCACAATGTGCAGAGTTCAAGCTAACTACTTTATTATGTTCTGCCTATAATACAAGAACCTCCCCAGTTTGGCAGTCTATTCCTGGGAACTATTAGATAAGGCGCCAAGGAATTTAGGGAAGGTGTTTGGTCCTAGTCCTTTTGTGATTGCCCTAGCTTCATGCTTGATCCCACCTCCCTGCCATGCTGAGAGCTTCCCAACACTAGCCTTCACCTGAATGCATTCAATGAATGGGAGTCCACCACCTCTCAGGGTAACTGGTTCCACTGCCCAACGGCTGCTATTTGTAAGAATTTCTTCTCTGATCTCCAACATTCGGTCAGAATCCAGTATTCTGGAATGAGGGAAAACAGGTCTTGACTTCTTCTGTGTGATATTCTTTCAGAAATGTAACTCTTCATCTAATAGGTGTGCCCAGGTGTTGCCCTTAAGAGACTCTTTTATCCTTGCCACACTAGAGGCAGTGTCTTAGGACCAGGATCTGGTATTTTTGGGTAAAATGTTGACCTGGTTTGTACATCATCTTAAAGAGTTACTGTTTTCTGAATGAACCACAGTTGGATCATTTTGCACTAACCTTAAACCACAATATATGAACTAGAGTGGCTGGGTTTGTCAAGCTTCTAAGCCACCATTAAGTAAACCACTATAAAGGTTAGAACTAATGAGTTCTTTCATATATGCTTCAGTCTATAATTTAGATCATCATAGATGAGCCCAAACAATTCACTTTTTCCTAAATGACTTGTGACTTTTCATTTAAAATATCAATTTAGGACTTTGAGGGATACCTTCAGAAATGTATGCCTTTTCTGTCCTTTTTTTAGAGGGGTCTATATATTTGTTTTCATTACTCCAACTTTGCCGATGCTGCTCCAGCAGCAGAGTTTTAAAAAATGCATTAATTTCTGAATTGTGCCCCGGCACAAAATGTTATCTTGGTGTTGCAGGCAGATTGTTCATGATTAGAATTGCTGTGCTAGTAATTTGCACAACAATTTCTTTGTTGTGTTCATGTGAGCTCACTGAGGCATGTTATAAAAAGAGCAAGCTGCCTTGAATTAAGCCAAATCAAGGGTTCCTCAAGTTCAGGGGTTCCCAACACCTGGGCCACAAAGTTGGAGGTGAGCGATGGGCGAGCGAGCAAGCAAAATTGAAACTGTCCTCCCTCCGGTCCATGGAAAAATTGTCTTCCATGAAACCGGTTCTTGGTGTCAAAAAAGTTGGGGGGGGGCACTGCTCTAGCTGAGTATTGTTTCAAACTACTGGAGCAGATTTCCAGAATTTTGAACTCAGGTCTTTCCAGGTGCTCCCAAGAGATGGCCCAGGACTTTCTGCAACTGAAGAAGATGCACTACCATTGTGTTATGCCATGGTTCCTTCTACATCCCTACCACTTCCACTTCCCAAATCCTCAAAAGTAATCTGATAATATTCCACAATCCTCCATCATTCTGCTAACTCAGAAATAATGAAAATGGGGCAAAAACACTTTTCTCTCCTACAAGTTTCTACAGTAGCTGAGTAGAGGAAAAAAAATCCAGCTTTAAATCTACTCCGTACTATGAATAACTAGGATAAATTACTTGTATCTTCAGATCAGAGGTGGTATTCAGCAGGTTCTGGCCAGTTCTGGAGAACTGGTAGCGGAAATTTTGAGTAGTTCAGAGAACCAGTAAATACCACCTCTGACTGGCCCCGCCCCCATCTATTCTCTGCCTCCAGAGTCCCAGCTGATCGGGAGGAAATGGTGATTTTGCAGTAACCTTCCCCTGGGGTGGGGTGGGAATGGAGATTTTACAGTATCCTTCCCCTGCCATGCCCACCAAGCCATGGCCATCAAGTCACGCCCACAGAACCAGTAGTAAAATTTTTTGAATCCCACCACTGCTTAAGATACATGTACTTCACATATTTCATAGCGTGTGGATTTGTCTATTATTATTATTGTTGTGGTTGTTATTTTTGAAAAATCAACCAATCAATCAGCCTTAATGGTTCCTGGGAGATCTACATATAAGACTATTTCTTTATCTAACTTTGAAGCTGCCTGACTCCTGAGTTACCCTGGGAGGCTGATAATTAAAAAAAGGCCAAACATGTAAATAACATGGCTAGAAGATCAAAACATGAACCACAAACCTGCCAGAATCACAATAAAATGAAAAAAAAAACAGGTTTCTAAGGCCTGGGAAAGCAACCAGGTTTTTAATGATGTCCTTAAGTCCAATTTCTAGTGACATAAGGGAGCCACATACATCTCTGGGGAGCAATCATTGCACAGGGCAGGGACCAAAACAGGATAGACAGGTTTCCTGGGTTCTACAAAATGATATTGTTTAATTGACAAAGCACACTTACCCTGTTGAACTATACTGGGACAGAAGAAACAACCAGTTCCTCATATAGCTAGGCCCTAGTCCATGAAAAACTTTAAAGGTGATAATCGATTTGAAATTGAATGGTAACAGTCTAGCACTACTGGGTCCAGAAATGACTTTTTGAGGAGACGTCACTGCAATCTCGTCCAAGGCTAAAGGATCTACTCCCTGATTCAAAGAAACTGACACCACTAAATGGACCCAACATGTCAATTGAGTGATTTTCATCATCCAGGAAGAATCTGGATCTAGCAAGCTGAGAAACTGGAGTTACAGACTCAAACTCACTCCCAATAACTGCACAAGACCTTGCCTCAAGTACCTCAACTACACCTTTCCAACCAGAATCCTACTTTGAGAGTTCCTAGCATGGTTACAGTCAAGGGTGGGATTGAAAAATTTTAGCAACCGGTTCTCTGCCCTGGTTGCTGGGTGGGCGTGGCCATGAAGGCATGGTCTACTCGGCTTCCTGCACCATGGCGTGGGGGGGGGGGGTTTCACCCTCCCTAGGCTCCTGAGGTTTTCTTCAAGCCTCCGGGAGGGCAAAAACGGTTTCTCCCGGACTCTGGAGGCTCTCCAGAGGCCGGAAACAGGCTTGTTTCTGGACTTCCGGTACTTCTGGTAGGCCCATTTTTCGCCCTCCCAGAGCCTCCGCGCAGGCCCATCTGGTTCACATGAACTGATCTGAACCGGCTGAATCCAACCCCTGGTTACAGCCCATAAACGGTAAGAAGGATGGGGCAAGAGTTCCCACAAATGGGAGACAGCTGGCTTACATAGTTCCCTCTGAGAGCCAAAGTATTTCTGAAAGTAAATGGCAACTATTTCAATGATTCCTCATCGAGCTAACTAATGTAAATACATTGGCTTAGCTGCCAAACAGGGATGATGTCCTGGGAGCACAGAGATATCACTCTGATCCTGGAACAGAGAAGATACCATATGTGAAGATACCACATGGGCCTGTCTTTATTTTTCAAGGTTGGAATACGGAAATGACAGGGTTGGACCACAATCTTCAAACACGTGAGATCACAAGTGTAGTTGGAGGGGGGAAAAATAGTGAACATTAGGAAGAAGGTGAAACAAGAGCAACATCAGAACCAAAGTCTTTATTGTGTGAAATGATTCTCCCCTGTCAAAATGGTTCCCTTCCAGCTGTCAAATGAAAATGGAGCCTGGGACTAGTTGCACTTGAAGTAGTGTTACGTTCAGATAAATGTCATTTTTGAAGTGAAACATGCAGCCCAACCCATCTGTCACTGCAGATATTCTGTGTCTTCGTCAGGGATTAAAAATGTAACCCTTATCGGAAATGTAATTAGGGATGCTTTCAGTGAAAGAGGATGGAATTAAATGCAGACAGAACTGACATTGCTGAGATTATAGGAGGAATATTTCTTCAAGGCTGAGAAAAGTCTTAGAAAGCCTCAAACAGTGGTGAAATTAGAGGGAGGGCAGGGAAGGGTGAGGCATAGCTCTTTCTACCACCTGCTTGAAGATGGCTGCAAATGCAAGTCTTCAAGCAGGCAGGGATAGCCTTACATTAATGAATAATTCTGGGGTTTTCAGGCTCTGTAAAGAACATAAATACAAAAAAACAAAAATAGCCTCTCCTGGAATCCGAATTATAATTCCCAGAGAGGACTAGTTAACTACATTAGCCTTTCATAGCAGAAATAGCCGAGTTTTGTGATTTAGAAATTTTAGAAATTTTAAAAAATATCATGGCGCAAGTTTTTTATTCAACTCAGCAGCATATACACGGCATAAACTGTATTTTATATATACATGGAGGAAAGACATGGGCAGTTGTACAGATAGTTTGGCTACAGAATAGAATTCTTTTTCATTTTTAAAGATTGCTTTTCAGTCAGACCCATTGAGAATTGTGACGTGGTTATAATTTGAAGGTGGGTTTAATTCAGTGGTGGGTTGCCCCCGGTTCGGATCGGTTCTATAGAACCAGTAGTAAAACCGATGGGAGGCTCCGCCCACCGACCCTGATGTCATCAGGAAGCTTCTGCGCACGTGCAGAAGCGCGCACGCATGACCCCATTGCAAACCAGTAGTAAAGGTAAGTAGAACCCACCCCTGGTTTAATTCCACCGCTATCTGGTGACCAGAAAATAAACAACAAACATGGATCTTGCTATATCCTAACTAACTGCACAATTGTCTTACAGGTTTAGCTATTTATATGATATTTCTCTCTCTCTCTCTCTCTCTCCCTCCCTCCCCACTCTTCTACACACACACACACACACACACACACACACACACACACACACACTCATTCTTACTGTGCAGTTTTAATTAAGGATACTGTATAATTTTATGCCTTCATCAAACAAAAAGACTATCAAAGTACATAAAGATACTCTTACTTATTAAAAACATAGCTATTAACAATTTAATATGCAGTTTATGATTTAAATAAATTTATGTTTGGCGGGCAGTTTTTCTTTCCTCTCGAAGCAGGAATTTGGGGTATCTTTCATTATTCACTCACTCCACTTTTGTAGAAGTCTCTGGGTTTTCTTGGCCTTGACTGGAGGAGTCATCTCAATGGCCCTTTTGCCTATAAAGGAGAAAGGCTGACTTTAGAAAGACTTTGAATCATAGATCTGAGTTACTTAAGTTAAAAAAAAAAGAGCAAGGACCTCCCCCCAACTCATTTGTCCTTTGTTTCAGTGAGGTTATATATATGTAGCACACACTTATTAGTATAAAATAATTTGCAGATAATTATTTTCCATTTTATCCTGATTACTACAAGGGCAATTTAACTATTCATCAATATCACAGGAATGTTTTAGAAACCTTAGGAGTTCTTCACTCCGGTCAATAATTCCAGGTCTTTTCTCTTTTTCTTTGAAGCAAGAAATAGCAAAGCGGCTTCTTTGACTGAGCCAGCAATTGGATCAAGATGCTTATATAATTGCCTGGTTGAGACAATTATGGAATGGAGTGCCTTTCTTCTGCTAAGTTGCTCCAAGCATCAAGGAAGAGAAGAAATAATGGAGAACCAGCTCCAGAAATGTAAAATGACAAATGAATCAAAAGTAACCAGTGCTTCTTAAGTGACATGTGGAGACTTCCTAAATCTTGAACAACATGGTGATTTTTTTTGGGGGGGGTAGTTATGGCATTCTTGAAAGAATAGGAAGGGAATATGTTTAATCCATTGCTTACAAGATTTAAATGCCGCCTTAGGGTGTAAGTTACAGGTTGGATATTGGGTTCTGTTTAGAAATCATCTGTTCATTGTGGTTTGGGTTCTTTAGAATCTCTTTAGAGTAGGATTACTACACTGAGCCACGGTGGCACAGTGCAGTACTGCAGGCTACTTCTGCTGCCGGCCTGCAATTTGGCAGTTCAAATCTCACCAGGCTCAAGGTTGACTCAGCCTTCCATCCTTCCGAGGTGGGTAAAATGAGGACCTAAATTGTTGGAGGGCGATATGCTGACTCCGTAAACCGCTTAGAGAGAGCTGCAAAGTGCTATATTGCTATTACCAGATCTGGCCTGCAAAGTCCAAATGGCCACCAGATGGCAGCAAAGAAATACAGAAATCTCTTTTAACTCTTTGGTGCTATTTAGTGATGGTCCAAATTTTTGCAATCCAGATTTGGTAGGTCTGCCTTAGAATCATCTAAAATAGTTGCTGTATAATTAGAACCCTATTTTCAGCATGACTTTGACAACTTCCCTAACATTTGAGAAATGGTGGTAGGTGGGAGCAGCATTCTAGGCACATGATAGCTAGGTTAGTCTATATGAATTTTCCGTGATGCCATAAGCAAAAATAAACAACCATATTTGATATTTGAGAGTATGTCAGGAGTGCTTTTATAAAATTATCTACTATGGGGGGTGAGGCTAGTCTATCCACAAAATGCTTGTAATAGGGGATATACTGAAACACAAAAAAATACATTTCTTTTCTTGTTCTCTTCTGTGTCTCAACATACTTTTCATCATCCCCAGCTCAGTTTGTCATTTTTTGTTAAGATTAGAAGTGAACTTCCAAACAAAGCATTGAGTTACAGCCACCCATCATTTCTGGTTTTCTCTTGGGTCAGAAACGTGTTTGCAAATAAACACAATATTAGATGATGGCATTTTGCTTTACAGCCTTAATGCCTACAGCATTTCTCATTGCCATGTGTCAGCCCTTTAAAGTAGACCAGACTAGGATGGCAGAGTTATGAATGCTAATACTACTTTGTTATTATAAGTAACAGAATCTTGCAAATCTGAATGTGCTCTTCTTCCCTCTCCCTCTCCCCCTCCCCCCCATTTATCTTCAGGACAACATGGGAGGGTCATGTCTGAGATGTTTTCTCGAATTACATTTCTGCCTTGGGCTCAGATTTCTTTTATTTGACCTTTGCCTTGATTGTGTCTCTTCCTCTTTTTTCTCAGGGCTATTCTTACTGCCCATTACAGCCCATGAGTATCCTATTTTGCTGCACAACAACATCATATTGTTGTCATAGGGAAGAAAAGCAAAGAACATTGAGTTTCAGGGGTTTGGGATAGGAAGGGCAGGGGATGATGGGCAAGGGCTGCTCTTAGCAGTGGGACTGCACTCAGAGATCATTCATCAATACCGGATGTTGGGTCATTCCTAATTTATGGGGGTATATACTACATTATGTTTTTTAGTCTTTGCATAATAGTAATGCCAATGTTATTCAGCTACTGGGTACAATGGTAACATCAATCCAGATTAGGGTATTCTGGAACGATTCTTTAAAACAGGTTTTTTAAGAGAAAATGGTTGGATAGATGGTATACAACTTAGAGAGATGGGTTCATTGCAATTTTTAAGCTGGACAACTTCCAGATGTGTAAATTTCATACTCCCAGAATTTTCAACAAAGACCATGATGGCTGGGGGATTCTGGAAGTTGATCCTCCCATCATGAGGAGTTAATGAAACACTCATCTATAGAGAGATCAGAAATAGTCTAGACAGTATATCCAAAGTTTTCAGATGGGGTATTGTGTAGTCTAGATTAAAATTAAGGAAAGAACTTTGAGCACTATTGTCCCTCTAAGAATAGACATTCTTTCCCTTCATGGAATATTACTTCAGATCATATGTTTATTAGATTTTATTACTTACATATTCCAAATCTCTATAAGATCTTTCTAATAAGATTTACTCTAATGCCAACATCTCTGGTGATTAATTTCCTGGCTATGTTCACATGGGAGTTCAGAGGTGAGGCAGATGATGAAATAACACATATATTAAGAACTGGCTTGATTTGGGAGAACTAGAAATTTTATAGTCAGCAGTGCTTTCAAACAATGAATAACATCCAAGACTGATAAAGAAATTGTGAAAATTGCATTATTGTGAAAAAAAAATCACATTATTATAAAAATTGGTTTTCATATCTGCTTTATTAACAGTTCAGAAAGATGAAAATATATAGAAAATTAAATACAAGTCTATTAGGATTCAGTTCTGCCTGGCTTCATCTTTATTCATCTAGCATTGCTTTGTTTTATTGAAATAATATTCTTTTCAGCCACTCTCTCCAAAGTCAAAGCAAGTTCATATGAGCAGAAAACTTCCATTAAAATATTATTTTCTAGAGAGTTTCTCAATTCTCTCCATGTTCAAAATGGGAGAAGGTTCTAAATTTTCTTTGGATCTACAATTGGCGTTCTTGATAATACATTCTGCATCCTAGATGTCTTCCAAATAAGCATTCACAGCTACTGGGTTTTAGAAAATTGCTTGAATAAATAGTTCCAATAACTGCGTGGGCTCCACTTCTGGTTCTGTGATGGAATAACCCAATGATGGGTTTTGGTTGTGTCCCACCTTTGGGGTGGGGTTCATAAAAAAACAAAAACAAAACAAAACTGTATCAAGTAAATGCAGAAAGCTAAGTACAACTTGAAGTGAAAATGAAGTGGAATTTAGTGCACATTTAGTATTTGAGTTATTGAGCCAAGAAAAGCCATATTAAAAATGATGGATTAGATCTAAACTTAATCATGCTAGAAGCAAAATTTGTGAAATGAATGGTTTGTAAGTTAATCATGAATCCCTTGTTCCATCAATTTTAATGTGTTTATTCTATGCATGACTAGGAGTAGATGCAATTATTACCTTTAGCATAGGTTTTTCTTTGTTAAATAGTCAATGCAATGTTACAAATACTGTAATAGATTAGATCCAGGTTTAGGGCTTATCTGCACTGCCTGCTGTCCCATAATCAAAATGGGCCAGCTACGTTTTTCTGGATGGCAGAAATGGGCAATATCACCCAGCACTCACCCACCGTTAAATGACCTCAAGGTGCTGTTTTCCTGTTTCTGTTGCCTTCACCTCAGCTCTTAATTTTGCCTGCAGCATATTAGTTTTTTAAAACCAACTTGTTCTGTCCCCATCCCCCCCCACACACAAACAGCCAGCCAGGAGTTAAAGAAGTACTCGGCACACACAAGGTTTGTTATCAGGAACTTGGCAGCAATACAATAACCGTCTGCCAAGTGCTTTACTACAAGAAGAGGAAGTGTTCCTCCACCAGATAACACCAACGAATACACACAGTTTTCAAAACAATCCAGCTCAAACATGAAATCTTCAGCAGATTTGGCGTTGTACAAAGTGACTAGCCAGAAGTTAGCTTTGTCCGTCACAGAGTCTAAATGGCCACCACACTCTCTTATATAGCCTGTGGGGTGTGGTCCAGTGACTCAGCTTAATCCCTGGCACGCCTCCTCATCTGCTGCGAACGTTTATCTCGCCTTCATTGGCGTGGATCCAGGAACGACTTATCACCCTCATCACTGTCATCGGAGACACCTGGCTCCTGGTCAATCTCCTCTCCCTCGGCAGAACGCCTGAGGCATTGCCAGAGAGGAGGGGCCTGGAGAGGGAGGCCTGGCCGGCTCCTCTCCTTCATATTCGGAGCCTTCTTCCTCCAATAAGATAGGCTCGGAGGACGGAGCCACAACACAACTTCTGAAATGTGATTGGCTTCTATGCAGGGGCAGGAATGCCTTTTTAACTATATGATTGCTTGCCATGTTGTGCAATGACTTTTAGAGTTACCGTTAACAATATACCTGCAATAACACCTTAGCTAAAATACAAGTAGTTGGGTGGTTTAAAATGCAGCATAACCTTTAAAAAAAATACTCTATTGTTCTTTCCCTGGGCTATTTAGTTTCTACTGGGTTTTTAAAATAATTCTGGTGGTGCATTATTTCATCACTCATCCAGTCACTTGAAAGAAAGGTGACTTGAGACATGTTTAAAAGGTATCCTGCTGGATATATAATTAAACAAACAAAAAAATGGAAAAGAACGTTGTTCAAAGAAAGAAAAATAGTAATGAAGAAAACAACAATGTTTTTCCTGAGTATCAAACCAGCAAGTCTAGACATTTCCGCGCCAACCTGAAGACATGGCTGCTCCAGCAATTTCCCTGATCTGCTACGAGATTTTATTTTGTTTGGGGTTTTATATTGGCTGTTTTTAGGGTTTTTATTGTTATAGAAAGAGCATGTAGTACAGTGGACTAAAAGCACTGTTATTAACATCTGCTGCTTGCAATTACTACAAGTTCAAATCTCACCAAGCTCAAGGTTGACTCAGCCTTCCATCCTTTCAAAGGTAGATGAAATGAGGACCCGGATTGTGGGGGCAATAAGCTGACTTTGTATAAATATACAAAAGTATGAAGGCTATAGTTTAACACATTGTAAGCCGCCCTGAGTCTCCGGAGAAGGGCGGCATATCAATTAAAGCAAAAAAATAAATAAATGCTTTAATTCTGTACACCGCCCCAAGTCCTATGGGAGAAGGGCGGCATATAAATTTAATAAAAATAAAAATAAAAATAAATATGTATACAGAAGTATGTAAACTTTGTGTGTGTGTACAAATACACACAACATAGTTTGTGTGTGTGTGTGTGTGTGTGTGTGTGTGTGTGTGTGTGTGTGTGTGTGAAAAGAGAGGCGGGGATGGAAGGGAGGGGATTGACCATGACTTCCCTGCAGCAGAATAATAGGAATCCAGGGAAATGTCCAACTGGAAAACGAAATAGCCTGCTGTTCAGGATGAGCACCTAGTATAGTACCTTGCTGTCAAAGTATCTCAGTTCAGAAATGATTTTCTTAAACTGGTTGAGAATCAAGCTATCATATGAATGAACAAGCACAATGTGCTCTTTTAAGTCATGCATAGAGTAAACGCATTGAAATGATCCATGGTGGCACAGTGGTTGGAATGCAGTATTGCAGGCTAATTCTGCCAACTGCCAGCAGTTGGATTGTAACCGGCTCAAGGTTGACTCAGCCTTCCATCTTTCTGAGGGCCGGTAAAATGAGGACCCAGCTTGTTGGGGGCAATATGCTGACTCTGTAAACCGCTTAGAGAGGGCTATAAAGCACTGGGAAGCGGTATATAAGTCTAAATGCTATTGCTATTGAAATGAATGGTACTTAAATAATCATGCCATATTGTTTTGTTTTACTAATTCAAATGGGTCTAATCTAAGATTTGAATCTAAACCAAGATTATTTTGTGTTCCATTATAAATGCACCAAATGGCAGGAAAATCAGATTCAAATTTCATTCCATCTTCTGTCCTTTCCTGAGAGACAAGAAAGGAAAGAAAATAGAATGTTGCCAAGCAAAAAAGGATGATCAGGATTGAGCCAAATGAGTTAATGTGGCATGAAAAACTAACCCTTCACAATTTATGTGTCAATATGGTCCATGTGCATTCTCACCCAGATTTTATAAATAAGTCTTGTTTTTATATTGCTGGTACCTACGCCATCTGTCACATTCCAGGAAATTCAAACCTGCAGAGTAGCAAAACAGCCACGTTCATAAATCTGCCACGTTACAACCAAGATGCTTGAAATGCCTGAATGTAATGGCTCAATGCCTAGTCCATTCAGCAGCATGTGAATACCTTTTATCTTCCAGTCTTTTGATCAGTTTCAGGGGTTTCTTTCTTCCTGCATCTTTATCTTTTATTATTTGATTACTGTTATGATGATAAGACAGAAAGATAGATGATTGATAGACTCTGTTGTTACATCCTCAAACCCTCACAGCTTCAACTGTAAACTGTCTACCATGGACCTCAACCCATTCCTAAGTGGTCCGTAAAGGGAGTATGCATAAGAGCACCAGCGTGCCTACCGTCCCTGTCTTACTGTCCCCATTTAACTGTATTTACTTCCTTCGTTCATGTTTATGTTCATACTTATACCTGCTACATTGTACATGTTTGACAGATAGATAGATAGATAGCAATAAAGGAGAATATTTGTAACTCAGGGTTGAAATGAGGGGTCCTTGGTGCTTTCTGAGCTTATTTGCAAGAAAACAAGCCAGCTCAGAGAGCACCAAGGATCCCTTAGAGTAGGGGTTGGCAACCTCAAAGAGCCATTTGGACCTGTTTCCCATAGAAAAGAAAACTCTGGGAGCCACAAAACCCTTTTGACATCTAAAATGAAGATAACGCTGCATATATCGTTTTTTACCTTTGCTATGTATAAAAAAACGATAGCGTGTTGCATTTATGAAATCAATGACCTGCTACAGAGAAAACAAATTTTTATTTCTGCATGCAACAAAAACATTTTGAACTCCAGAAAAAAAAAAAGTTGGGTCGAAAAGCTCAATAAATCACGTGCCGGTGGGTGTCGCACATTGGCGGGTTGTGACACATATTTTGAGTGACAGGGAGCCGCAGCAGAGGGATGAAAGAGCCACATGTGGCTCCAGAGCCACGGGTTGGAGACCCCTGCCTTAGAGAGAGGGGGAGGGAAGGGGAGGGAGGGGGAGAGAGAGACAGAGACAGACAGTCCGACAGTCCAACAGACAGATAATGAGTTATGGTTGATGAAGAGGAATAGATAAAGAGGAATAAAATAATTCTTCACAATATTCTACAAGATCTGCATCTGTTTGCTATCATTTTTCTCATTATTAAAGCTAAATTGTTTCATGCACAAAAATGGAAATTTATATTTATTGCAGAGTAGTTTTTCTTTCTCTCATCACCCTCTTTTTTTGGGTGGAGAAAGAAAGAGCAAATTAGGTATGTGCGTGTTAGTAGGGGGCTTGCCAGTTCCCCCTTTCACTTTCCATTGAAAACTCATTAAATTTGTCCCTAGTCAGCTAATCCAAAGCAAAACACCTGTTTGCCAGATACATACAGCTGGACTGTGTCCATATCATCTGTTCCATTTGCAAAATACAGACTATATTTAGGCACCATGTTTAGGAACAACTAAAATGGTTGTTTTCTACATAAGCAGGGAGAATAATGCAGCATCCAGATGTTACAATCCAAAACATTTGCATTTAAATTCTACCATATGATAACTAAATGGGTTTTGGACTTACATTAAATGGCAGGTGGAAGATCATAAAGAAGATGGGACAAATCATTGAAAAATTCTTGATGGTATTAGGAGGACCTCTGATCAGCTTCTGACTTGTAAATATGCAAAGTCTGTTCCAGAATTCTCAAGTCATACTGAAAAGTTACAAGATCCAAGGTAAATCCACACAGAAGTCCTGCTGAAGACAGAAACTACTTTTGCAGCTCCTGTGATTCTCCTGATCAGAATCTCCTCTTAAACAGCCCAGTTTTCTGCATGTGAACTGCAATAGATTTTTTTTAAAAAAACTGGAAATATAAACTCCAACGAGACTGTGATTCTTTTGTTTGTTCTACTGTAAGGTCTGATTGGAACAGGAAATCTAAATCCATGACCCCTCCCTGCCCCCGTCTTTGTAGCAGAATTTTCTGATGTGTCTATTCTAAAAGCCCTGGACAGAGGATGAGCTCAGGAGTAATCTGCCAGTTCGCTCTGTCTCCCAAACTCTGCTAAAAGTTTGTTTTGGGAACAAAAGAAGCAATGAGAGAAAGATTTGCGTGTTGATTCACTGTTGCTCTGAAACATGTAGGGGAAATTTGATTTTTTAAAAAATAAATAAACCAACTCTAGATTTCCCAAATAGGCTTATAAAAATAGAAATATACAAACAGATTTAAATAAGCATTTTCCAGATATTATCAAATTATAATTAAAAATAGGCAGAAAAAACTGCATACATTATAGGCAAGCCACCAGGAGTCAAAAACTGATTTGACAGTGCACACATGCATGCACACACATATATCCACAATTTATCCTGTCATATACTTATGGCCTCCTTAACAGTAGAACCAGGCCTACCATTAGGCAAGGGCTGACTGATTCTGCCTCAGGTGACTGATTTGAGGTACCCATAAAAGACAGCAATGATCACAAAAGTCTATGTTTCAATTTAGAAATCCCAACAGTGTGTGAAGGATGAACTGTTAGGATCTCACCTTAGGCATCAAAATGTTTTGGCATAATTACCTACAGCTAAACTATATATTTCTACAAACAAAGAAAGCCATGGAAGTTATTTTCAGTAAATAGGTTCTTCAGGGGTCAAAACCATTCCAGGTACTTTTTATTGGGAAGAGTGAGGAGAAGGGTGTTTCAGTCATCTATTTTAGTGGAAAATGAACATTTCCAATGAACAATTGGAACTCTTCAGCTTTCAAGATCCTATTTAATCTCTGATGGTCCCATATTGACAACAAAGCTTTCCACCCAATATATCATACATCATATTTCTATTAGCATTCATTCATCAGCTTTTGAAGAACCTCATCAGATTAAGCAATTGCATTGTATCATCTCTACTCTCTAATAAGGAATCTCAGAAATTTATTCCATAGCTAAGAATTCTGGCAACATATTCCAATTATATTAAAAGACAGAACACCACTAAACTGTGCTGTTTTTCAATTTATTTCAAAAGGTGTCATTTGAATTTGACAAGAAGGCTTTGGTAAATTTATTTTTAAAAAAAGGGTAGGGGGGAGCTAGGCATATGGGTGACAGCATGCTTTGCTCCAAAACCTCACATTTTCAAAAAAAATCAGTTTAGGGAAGATGAAATAAAAGTGGCTGGCAGGGAAGGAAGGTTTTTGGCTATAAACAACCACTTTACACCCCTACATTGCCATTTGTCAGACATATATGCAAATAATTGGACAACAAGGATTCTTTCTGTGGAAAAAAAAATGCCATCCTAACAATTATCTCCTGAATCATCTCTTGAAGACTAAGAACCACCTGTGCTCTTCTGGGTAATTCAAGAATTTAAGGAGCTCTCAGGAACCCATTCATCATTTAAGTTCCTGCAGTATAATAAACCAGCCTATAATGAACATTTGTAGAATCATCCTGAGGCAAGTCGAAGTAAGTGCTGTCAGCTTCATGTCCAACAAAGAACATTAACAACGGGAAGTTCACCCTTTAAGAGTGCTGTTAGAGACAGAAAGAAAACCTAAGGAATAATCGAGACCAGTAAGAATGAAAAGTCATAGATAGTTCAAGGATTATTCAGAAGTAAGTCCATTACATTCAATGAGTTTTACTCTGTTGTAAGAGTTCAAAACCTGTCTTAATTAAAAGGAATAATGATGTGCTTTTTAAAATAATAACTATTTTCTATTTATTTTTGTATCTTTGAGTCAGTATTGACTCTTGGCAACTGCCTAGACCAGGGGTGGACAAATGTGGCTCTTTTACAACCTGTGGACTTCAACTCCCAGAATTCCTGAGACAGCCAAGCTGTCTCAGGAATTGAGACAGCTTGGCTGTCAAACCAATCCCTGCAGTTTTTCTTGGCAAGATTTCAGTGGTTTGCCATTGCCTGTTTCCTAGGGCTGAGAGGAAATGACTGGCCTAACATCTGGTTTTGTACCCAAGACAGGACTAGAACTTATATAGTCTCCCCATTGCTAGCCTGGTGCCTTAACCACTATATCAAACTGGCTGTCTATTCTACATCAGTGGCCCACAATCATTTGGGCTCCAGGGACCGATTCCATGGAGAATTTTTCTACGGACCAGAGGGGGTGTGGTTTCAGGTGCTACCTGCATCCCATGGATGGGGCTTCACTTGTTTGTACAGCTCAGTTTCTGGCATGCCACGGCCCAGTGCCGGGCAACAGACCAGGGGTTGGGGACACCTGCTCTACATGATACTTAGAATTCATTTTATTCAGAGCAGAGCACAGATACAGTCCTTAAATTATAGTCACAATGGATCCTGGAATTTTGGCCATGAGTTGTTGCGATTATAAATCAAGGCATCATGTAATCAAACTCATTTTTACAATTGTTTTTCAGCAGTCATAAAGGGAGTTACTGAGGTGGTTAAGTGAATCATGAGATTAAGCAAACCACATGGTTGTTAAGGGAATCCAGTATATCTAATAGAAAATGGCAAGACAGCAAATGTTGCAAACTGAAATCACAAGACCATGAGAGAAGATAACCATAAGCAAAATATAGGAATTTGTATACTCTTGAAACTTCTAAGCTTTTAGTTATAAGATGCCTCATTAAAATATATATATTGGTGATTCTTAAATATGTGAAATTCAGAGCTCATCTCTTTGAAAACATTTTTTTAAAAAAGTATGTCCTTAATAGACATCTGGCAAAATGTAAAAGAATAAGCATCTCATACACCTAACTAGTCTTGTCTGGGCTCAAAGCAGTGGTGGGTTGCCCCCAGTGGTAAAACCGGCAGGAGGCTCCTCCCACTGACCCCAACATCATCAGGAAGCTTCTGTGCATGCGCGGCCCCATTGCAAACCGGTAGTAAAGATAAGTAGAACCCACCCCTGGCTCAAAGGCAGAGTTGGACCTGCTTAAGTCTTCAGGGGGAACCATGCGCTGTGCACTAAATGGGAAGTTGAGCAAACTTCCCCAATGAAGGCCATGACAAACTACTTCTATTGACAAGAAAGCCGCAACGACACATCCATGAAATCACTAAGAGCCAAATTCAACTCAACAACATCTTTCTTTTCTCCCAAACCATCTATTTCTAGCCATAGTTCCTTCTTTGGCTAGTCTTATCTTTTTCAGACGAGCCTACTGTTCAGCTTGAAAAGAAGGCTGGGAATAGGAAGTCTTGGTGCTACCCTGCTATTTCCCTGCAGCTATATTTATGTGGCACCTGGAAGTGGTTACCTGTTAATCTGGTTTACTGCATTGTTTTGGACAACCAGGTGTAAGTGGTCTTTATTTGGAGCAATTAAAATTCTAGCATTCCCCTCTCTTGACATGCAATTACTGGAGCTCTGCTGTTTCCACTAATTGCTCTTGCTGAGGACATTGGTGAGAAGCCAATGATTTTGATGGGTAACGGATTATCATTTTTATCCTGCTACCTGCAGAAAAAAAAAATCATTTGCAAAATCCCTTGTGTAATTAGCATGGCTCATGATTAATTGTCCTGCAAAATTAGCTTCACAGTTGCTTTTATTTTACTGCCTCAAATATTAATTAACGTTAACTCCTTTCCTTCATTTTCAGCTTTTGAATATTCAGCGTGGCTTTGAAAAATTAGGCGTGTGTAAGGGGCGGGGGGGTTGAGCTGCATTAGTATGCTGGGGCTTTGATTTTAGAGCAAATATTCTGATTCAGAAGATCACACTTAGGTCATAAATACGTTTTATAACAGGACAAACAAAGCATCAAAGCATCATCACCGGAAAACATTCATGCAGTAACCACAAGTGAATTGCCCCTGTAATGATTCATTCCCCATATGCTTTGGGGGAAAAGATCAGCAAATATACAAACTGCTTCATTTGTGGGGCAAAACAATTCCTAGCTGACCGATAATCAATCTATACGTTTCCTAATCGGTTACTCTTAAGTTACTGGGCAAGGAAGGCTGCATTTGTATTTTTCTATTAGAACTTCATGCACATTCAGAGCCTGGGTGGTGCCAACTCTTTATATTCTGTGACCTATAGACTATTAAGTTTGATGACACAAACTAAAAAAAAAAAGACAATTGTCTGTACTTTAATGCCATCTGCCATAGAGCTCTCTTCTCTAGCACTTTGCCAAACTGGAGGATGAGAGGTTTTTTCCTCCCAAATTACCTGAGGAGGGGGAGAGATTGTCTTAAGTTCTTTTAAAAGAACAGAAGAGCTGCTGAAAATGAACAGATGGGCCAAAGGTGCAAGCGGATGCTGAAAAGCATCAGTGCTTTTGAAGACTAGCCGCTTCTTGGAAGGGGCTGCTTTTAACCCATTGGACACCTATAAAGAGCTCCTCTGTTCAGTTAACTCTTCCAGCTTTGTTCTTCCTTTTCTCTGGCAGATTTACTCCTTTAAACCCACGCTTGTAATACACTAAGAGAAAGGAGGACTTGCTGTTATTCTGAGATTAGAGAATCATGTGAAGCTTACTTGGGGTCCACTGACAAAAAGCTTGCATTGTGTTGCAGTGTGCATTTGCAAACTCTGCAACATCTGGAGGAACTGGTGAGGTCCAACTAACTAACACTTTGGGGTTTTTTTTCAATAGCCTCATATCCATAAGTAGCGTATGAGGCAGTAGTGGGTTTCAATTTAGTTTGCTACCGGTTTGCTCGTGCGCATGCATAGAAGCGTCCGAGCGGATGGGTGGAGCCTCCCGCCACCGCCACTACCGGTAGCAACCCACCACTGGTATGAGAGTTGTACTGTAGATTTTTGCCTTGTTTTCCAGCAATTGATATTCTGAGGAAAAAGACAACTGATTCTAATCACTGTATGGTCACCGTTGATAGCCTTATTTCTTTTAATCTCTTTTGATGCTATCAATCAATCTCATGGCAGTGAAGTTCCTAAACAGTTGTGTTCTGTGTAGGCAATCTGGAATTATAGGAATTGTTTCATAATCTGGGGTTCCTCATGGGATGTCCAAGGTCATCAGTGGGTTCATGGACACTTTCAATAATACTGAACAGATTCATGTACACTTTGTCTTTCAAAAAAAGCAGGTAGTTTAATTGTATTGTTATATGGACATGTATATGTGAGGTTATTTTATTTTATTTTTTTTTATTTTAATTTTATTTATATGCCGCCCTTCTCCGGAGACTCAGGGCGGCTTACAATGCGTTAAGCAATAGCCTTCATACTTTTGTATATTTATACAAAGTCAGCTTATTGCCCCCACAAACTGGGTCCTCATTTAACCTACCTTAGAAAGGATGGAAGGCTGAGTCGACCTTGAGCCTGGTGATATTCGAACCTGCAGAAATTGCAGGCAGCTGTATTAATAACAGGGTGCATTAAACCACTGTACTACCAAGGCTCTTATAAGGTTATGAAGGATTACAAGAAGGGGAGGGATTGTGCCACATGCTACTTTTGGTATTTGATCTTCTCCTTGGCCTCCTTGACCTTCCTCCCTCTGGACACCATTGTCAAGAAGACACATGCTCAAGAATGTTTGGTGGTAAATGTAGATTGAATACAACGATGACCATACAAAAACATTGAAGAACATGGAAGAAGCTTGGTCATATAAAGAAAATGAATGAGGATCAAACTAAAATATATGAAAAAAGTGAATGGGTTAAGAGGAAAGGGAAGACTAAGGAAGTTGTGTTGTATCAAATTGAGAACTTCAAAAAGAGGGAACTGAGAAGTTTAAAGAACAAATGAAGTATATGGATGTAGGGATGGATCTCATGGGATAAGCAGAGACAATAGGAGAAAGATGATTATGCAAATAATGATAAAGCCCATGAAGGGGTTTATAGCAGTGGTGGGTTTCAAAATTTTTTACTACCGGTTCTGTGGGTGTGGCTTGGTGGGCATGGCATGCCTTGGTGGGCGTGGCTTGGTGGGCGTGGCTTGGTGGGCATGGCAGGGGAAGGATACTGTAAAATCTCCATTCCCTCCCCACGCCAGGGGAAGGTTACTGCAAAATCCCCATTTCCTCCCGATCAGCTGGGATTCGGGAGGTAGAGAATAGATGGGGGCGGGGCCAGTCAGAATTTTTACTACCGGTTGTCCGAACTACTCAAAATTTCCGCTACCAGTTTTCCAGAACTGGTCAGAACCTGCTGAAACCCACCTCTGGTTTATAGCTGATAACTAGTTTGCAGCTAGGATCCATTTAAAGTAATCCATTTAAAGTGATAGACAGACCACTAGGGTTTAATGTAACAGAATACAAAAGATATATTGATATGATTTCAGATTTTACAGAGTAACTAACCTTTGTGAAACTACCACCTTTCAAGTGTTGGTGCAGTATCAAAGAAGAATATTCATAACTATCTGAAAAGGCTGTCAAAATATTCTTTTCCAAGTACAGTACATATCTGCATGAAGCAGGAGTTTCTTCATTTACATCAAGGAAAAATTGCATACAGAACCAGATAATGGGAATCCAACTGACTTTTATTAGGCCAGATATTGAAGATATTTGCAAAATTTTAAAATAAGGTCAGTCTTCTCATTATTTTTGTATTTGGTAAAATATCCGTTTTTTCACAAAAAATATTTTATTTATGTTAATATCTAACATTGTTATTTTTATACAGTTCAATAAATATTCCACAAATGAATCAATTTTAATTTTTAATATGGTAAATATCAATAAATATAACCCATACGGACAAAAGTTCTTTGGAGGTTCTCCATAATTTGTAAAAGTGGGAAGTGGGAAGAGAGCAAAAGGCTTAGGAAACACTAACATATACTATTGTTTTAAATCTGATCATGAATACCCATGAAAAGCCTAAGATCAAGGCATAGAATGGACATCTAAACATTTTGGTTCCAACTTCTTCTGGTGGTTTTTTTAAAAAACTGGAACATTGTTTTTTTTCAACGAGATTCATTTCCATTTCTGATATTTCCTGGTTGCTAAGATCCTAACAGATACTCCCTTCTTCCTGTTTTCAAAGCCCTATTAAAGTTTATGAAACAGACAAAACAGAACAAAACAATGTTTATGGCTGGTCCAGTTTGACTTGTTGATTTTTTCCAGCTGACTCTCCAATTCCAAATTTCTAATGTTGATGGAGTTGGTTGTGAAAATGGCTTTGCAGCCATCAGCTCATACCTATTTATTTATTTATTTATTTATTTATTTTATTAGATTTCTATACCGCCCTACTCCCGAAGGACTCAGGGCGGTGCACAGCCAAACAATAAAAACACATACAATACAAAATTTAAAAATAGAATAAAATCAAATTAAATAATTTTGGCCCTGACAAATTTAAAACCCCAAACTTTTAAAACCAATTTAAAATTGAATATATAAAATACTAAAAGATATTTAAAATTTTAAAAATCTTTTATAAAAGAGGGGGAAAATTAGGCCAGGCCGGCCTGGTGAAATAATAAGGTCTTTAAGGCGCGGCGGAAGGTGCGCCGATCCGGGATCCTCCGTATCTCGGGGGGGAGCTCGTTCCAGATAGTAGGTGCCCCCACAGAGAAGGCATCTCATTTATAGTTATATGTAACTCAACCCTATTAAGCCACAATGAGATGTCCTTTTGCAGTTTACTGTGTTGAGCTGGACTTACTCCCAGGTGTTTGCACCCAGGATCCCATCCTTGAGAGCTTTCTTTTTACCCAATGCTTATTAATAGGGTCTAGTTCTATTAACTCTTCCCAGTGATGAAGTACTATATTCAAGGGGTGAAATCCAGCAGGTTCTGACAGGTTCTGGAGAACTGGTAGCAGAAATTTTGAGTAGTTCAGAGAACCGGCAGATGCCACCTCTGGCTGGCCCCAGGAGTGGGGAGGGAATGGGAATTTTGCAATATCCTTCCCCTGGAGTGGGATCGGAATGGAGATTTTGCAGTATCCTTTCCCTGCCACGCCCACCAAGCCACGCCCACCAAGCCACACCACGCCCACCACACCACGCCCACCATGCCATGCCCACAGAACCAGTAATAAAAAAAATTGGATTTCACCACTGCTACATTCCCATCTTTGAGTCAGCAGAAAACTGTAACGCCATAGAATTTGTGGTCCCCACTGCCAATCCCCCCACCATTTTAGTTTCAAGTCACTGTAGTCATTTAAGTTCTCTGCGGGGTAATTTTATGCATCTTGAAGTTGCCCTTATGGAGTATTAGAATAAATAGAAAAGTACTACTAAACTACAATTATTATAGTTAGCTAATATTAAAATGAAACATCTTTCCCCAGTTGCATCTAAGCAGATCACATTTGTACCCTAACAGCATATTTTTTCCTTCTTCCCTATCTCTGATATTGTCTTCATCTTGACTCTAATCCATAAATGAGAAACTGGTTTTAGCCAATCTTGACTACACTGATGTTTCATTTTAATGAACTTGATTTCGTCTGCATCCTGTTTAAATATAGAGGACAAGGGAGTAGAATGTAAGAGGTGCAGATAAATTTTAAGAATGTACTAATGTGGATCACTGGGGCAAAAAGGTAATAAACAGTTTCACTGAACATTGCTTAACAATAAAGTGATAATTGCTTCTTGGTCTTCAATTTTATGCACAGCCCAAAATAATAACCTGTTTGGTTAGCAGTGTTTTCATTCTCTGCAAGGTGCCCTGTTGCCTGGCTGAAGGCATTTTATGAAGCTGGTCTTGGATCATAAGAAAGAAGTCTTGTTGGTAAGTAATTTTATAGCAGCCTTATTGTGCTGTGGTTTCAGGTTTGTTCAGTCTGTTTATTTGGGAATTCGGTGAAGTTTATGGACTCCTTCCCTCTCGAAGGCTCTGTTTTATTCATCTGCTTCTTCTAACCCATTAAATTTAATCTGAGCCACTTTTGAGATGTGTGGCTTTTTGACTAGACCAACAAACTAATGTACCATCCTGAGTTTTTGCAAATGTTTAACAAAGGCCTTAAGTTTTTGCCTAGGTTGATTTGATTTCTCTTGCACCAAACTCAACAATATGGTATATGATGAACCCTACCATAGTACTTTTGGACCTTGATCTGGTTTTTTTTTTTTTCCAGGTTTGGGGCTGATTATTACCAGGTACATTTGAAAATGATTCTATCCACTGAATCATAATCCATGATTTTTTAAGATAAAAAATACTAAGAGCCGTGGTGGCGCAGTGGTTGGAGTGCAGGCTACTTCTGCTGACTGCTGGCTGCCTGCAATCTGTCAGATCGAATCTCACCAGGTTCAAAGTTGACTCATCCTTCCATCCTTCCGAGGTGGGTAAAATGAGGACCCAGATTGTTGGGGGCAATATGCTGACACTGTAAACTGCTTAGAGAGGGCTGTAAAGCACTGTGAAGTGGTATATAAGTCTAAGTGCTATTGGTATAATCTAAGTACCTTTCCCAACTTGCATCTAGCCACAGTATAAATATGACTTGGCATCTTCTTTTTTCCACAGTGCATCCATGACTTTGCATTCATCTCATAGTTTGGGAGGAATTAGGGGAGGGTTTTGGTCAGGGGTGAAATGCTCCCGGTTCGGACCGGCTTGGGCAAGTAGGTAGCAATGGCGGCAGGCAGTTCGGAGAACAGGTAGCAAAAATCCCTGCCCCCGCCCCCCATGCCCAGCTGAGCCACGCGATGATCAGAGGCTTTTTTTCTTTTAAATGGCTCTGACGATCCCAGTGAGATGCCTGCTGATCAGGCAACTCAGCTTGGATCATCAGAGCTATTTAAAAGAAAAAAACTTTTTTTCTTTTAAATGGCTCTGATGATCCAAGCTATGATGAGCCCAGCTGAGTTGCCTGCTAATCAGGCAACTCAACTGGGATCGTCAGAGCCTTTTGAAAGCATTTTTTAACATGGTTTTACGTGTAAAAAATGGTTTTAAAAGTAAAAAAAAAAATGGCCACGCCCACCCAGTCACATTACCCCCACCACCACCAAGCCACGCCCACAGAACCGGTAGTAACAAATTTTAGATTTCACCACTGGTTTTGGTCATTCTTCCTGTATAACTAGCCAATTTTACCCCTTCATTCAGGGAAGAAATGTGAGGAACAGCCTTTTTATTTGGGTTCTATCTTCTCTCTTCCCGTTAATGGTGACTGGCTATCTAGTCACTCCTTCCTCTTGAGCAGAGAATCTCAGTATGCTTTTTTACAGAGAGGTCAAGCAAATAACATAAGATTCCCCCTCCTTTCCAGCTATTATTCTTCTCCCCAGAGCCTGTATCACCTTGATGGTGGATTATTGCACAATGTGCACTTTAGCTGATGTGTATATACTGCACGAAGCATAAATTAATACAAATCAAAATTGATTCTAATAAAAATGTTGACATTATGTTTACCAGAGTATTAAAACACTGTTGGCTACTTAATAGCCTCTAGAGTCAGAGGAGAAAACAATGCTGTGAGGTTATGGTATCTGGGACACAAGATCTGGAATTATTCTGTACATAATGTATTTCATCAGTGATACTATTTATTTCTGAAATAAGTTTTTTTGTGTATCTTGTATGAAATGCATGTACATAAACATATGTATATACATATATGTTCTTCATGTTTTAAGTTGACAAAGCAAATAGAAATCAATGAAAGTAGCCAAGGTTGTTTTGAGTAAATGAAGAAACAATAATTTACATCTTATATCTGTCATTGTTACAGACTGGTTAAAAGCAAGGTCTGTTCATTGCCAATTCTAGAGTAGAACCACTAGCATTGAGGAAGATTTTTTTGGATGAAACAAATATCACTGTTTATTGCATTATATCAATATTTTCTGCAGAAATTATTGGGAAAACAGTTCAATAATCTGGTAACAACTGTAAAAGTTCTCTTAAATGGAATTGTGGTTCATCCATCCATTTGACATTAGGATTGTCAACAGCTGTTTCTGTGAGATTTTGCAAGCTCATGCTTGTTGCATCAGGAATACTGCCTAACCACCCAGACGTCTCTCAGTTCCCTTTCAATTTAAATTTATTAATTTAATTTAATGTTAATTTAGTTTTTCCAAGCATCAAGAAACTTCCAATGACTCTTCCCTTTACATTATGCAACCAAAGTGCCTAAGCTTTAACTCTGTACTTAGTGCTTCCAGTGAGCAATCTGGTTTCACTTCATCTTAGATTGAATTATTTGTTCTTACAGCCCAAGGACTTGCAATAATTTTCTCCCGCACTATAGTTGAAAGACATCCATTTTTCTTTCTACAGCCTCTTGGATGATCCAGCTTTTACAGTCAGATGCTACAATTGGGAATACCATTGCTTTGACAGTACTTACCTTTGTTGTCAATGTGATATCTCCATATTTTAATATTTTGCCTAGCTCTATCATTGTCTTTCTCCCACATAGCATACATTTCTGTATTTCATGGCTAGATTCACCATCCCTTTGAATGTTTGACCTAAGATGATAAAAATTATTAACATTATGGCTTTTTTTCTCCCTAATTTCCTTGAATACAATTTGTTTGTTGATACAGTCCTGTATCTGTCTGTCTGTCTATCATCCTCTCTCTCTCTCTCTCCCTCCCTTGCTCCCTCTCTCTCTCTCTTCTCTCTCTCATTTATCTATCTATCTATCTATCTATCTATCTATCTATCTATCTATCTATCTATCTATCTATCTATCTATCCACAGTAGGTTTTACACTCAATTTTTAACCTTCAATAAAAGGTTTCTTAAATTTTTCTTGCTTCTAGCCAACAGGATGGTTCTATCAGCATCTCTGATAGATTATTATGTAGAGTTATAATATATTCCATTGTTTTGTTCAAAGATATTTTTAGAAGCTCAATATCCTGATTACAGGAACATATGGGGTAGACTACTTCTATCCTTAATTCCAAGTCCCCCAACATTGTGAAAATATATAGGCTTACATTCCCTTTCACCTACCATATTTTTCGGAGTATAAGACGCACCCTTTCCCCCCCCTAAAAGAGGCTGAAAATTTGGGTGAGTCTTATACTCTGAATGTAGCATTTTCGAAGCTTTTTTTCAGCCCGAATGAGGCACTAACGAGGTGCTAGAGAGTGAAGCGATCTTTCCAGCTTTGCCTGCTCCCTTGACTCTCCGCTGTGCTTTAATGAGGCGCTAGCGAGTGAAGCAATCTCCGACTCTCAGCTGTTCTTTAGAAGCTTTTTTAAAGCCCTAACTAGGTGCTAGCCAAGTGAAATGATCTCCCCCTCCCCCTGTGCTTTGCCTGCTTTTCTCATTGCTGCTTCCTCTCAGCTGTGTCTTAGAAGCTGTTTTTTATCCCCAAGCAGGGGATAAAAAACCAGCAAACTAATGTGCTGAAGCTGACTAGACTAAGGACGCTAGCCAGATGAATACCTGGTAGGCAGATTTTTTTCCCCTATTTTCCTCCCCAAAAACTAAGTTGCGTCTTATACTCCGGTGCATCATATACTCCGAAAAATACGGTACCTTAATAAAGAAATGGTAGGAAGTAACCAATTTCAGCACCGTGTTTATAAAAGATACAACAATGTGAAATCTTGAAGATGTATATCCCATGATTATTTGCTGCTATTAGCATCTTTCCTTGGAAAGGATAGAAATTCTATAGAAGAGAGATACAGAATTTGTATTGGATGAGGGGGAGGAAAATTATTTCTATAGTTCTATCTGGAGTGTATAAATAAACAAATGACATTCAGTCCATTTCTGAAATAATATATTTAGCCCTAGGAAGATTGAAGGGAACAGGAGTCACACTAAAGAAGCAGACGTTTAAAGCTCCAGCCATTCCTTGTCATTTCATGGAGTATGGGCTGCAAAGTCTTTTTCAAGATCTGTGCCAGTATCGAGATAAACGAACAGGAGGAAGATCATATTACAGTGGTGGGGGGCATGAAGAAAAGTGGGGAAGGGAACCTTCTGACCATTTTGACCATTTCTGATGGTTACATTTGCCTCTTCTCAAAGCAGAAATGCTCCTCCTCATTAAGAATGGTTTTGCCCCAAAAGCCCCCAGCTGACCGTGGGTAATCATGAAAAACTAAGGTAGACTTGGGTGGACTCAATAAGCGTGAGAGACTATTAGGGAATTACTGAAGTTGTAGACTATCTGGAAAGTAAAAGGACAACCTTGAAGAAGACAACGGTGATGATTCTACACTGTTGTCTAGAAAGCAGCATGGATACATTCATACTATCACTTGGGGTCAAGGGAGACTTCCCTTTTTCTTGCACAGATGGGAGAGGATTGGTTCCATCAAGGAAAAGGGTTACAAAGATTATATAAAAGAAAGGTAGCAATAGGTTGGAAGGATATGAAAACATACCTATATCCACACTTGATTTCATAGTAGACTGCAACAAACAAAAGGGGAAATCGGCATTAATTTGCTGAGTCCCACATTTAAGTAATATGGTAAAGATCGAGGATTAAGTACCAATGCATAATTTACAAGGTCATTCTTAGGGAAAGCATAGCTCATTTAATGTATCCATCCAGAGTAGAATTGTTCCCTTCTTGTGAAGCCCTTTCATTTCATCAATTTTTCCTGCTCTCATTCTGGGTTAGATCTGTCCCACCCCTCCCTGTCCAACACTAGAATTACTTAGATAGTGAGATGGACTATGTATACATTTGATAAATAAATAGTAAATTAGAGGCATTTTTCTGCAGAATGAAAAGTTTGGTGATATCGGGTGTGTCCTGTGAGATTACCTCAAAGAAAAGGATGTCTTTGAGATTCAAACTGGCCTAGAAGACAATTATTGGTATGTAGATATGACCCTTGGGCGACTGCTATTAAGAGCCAATCAATGTGAAATGAAATATGCATGTCCTCTTCCATCGCCTCATGATTGCCTTGTGGCCATATTGAGGAGTGGCATGAGTGTTTGACTGAAATGAACCCAGGCACTTTTATGTGTATGTACCTGTGATCTGTGTAAATCTTCTTCTTGTCCTCTCCTGCATTGAGTGCTGTGGTTCCCTCCATCTCTTTTCCTCCTCCCTCTTTCATTTGCATCAGGCTCTTCATCAGGATGTCTCTTCGGTTTCAACTTCATTCTCCTGCTTCTCTTTTTCTATCGCTTCCCTTTTCGGCTCCATTCTTCTCTTGTTGTTGTCCATTTCATTTCATCCAATTTGGGGGCTTCCAGACAGGACAGCAGGTTTCCGAGAAATGTTAGTTGTTATGTATACAATTGCCAGAGCTTATTGTCAGTTTTAGCCATGTTCATCAATACTGAAAAATCTTCTTTAGAATCTCCACAAGGAAAAGAAGTTTTCAACGGACACAGAGACCTTCCTTTCCCTAGCTGTGACCCAAGAACCAAGAATGACATGTGGAGCTACTTTGAATAACTACTTTATTGTTGTTTTCCCAGAGACAGAAATCTTGCCAAACCAAAGCAACTATCTGCATGTTTTGTGGGAAAATAGGAAGCCGAAGTAGTATTAGATATGTTTCCCATCTTGAGTTACAGTATTTATAAAAATAATAAAAGCGGGATAAAGCAAGATCTAAAAACCTCCACCCCTATAGATATACTCTATGAACTGCTAGGAAGGGGCCATCTTTGCCCTCTTTCTGCCTATCAGACATTCCTCAGCTGCCTCTTTGCTCCTCTGGGAGGGCAGTCCCTCCCTCCTGGGACTCTATACTACTGTACATTTCCACCACATCGGGTCTTGATTTCTTGCAGAGCCCATGTCTCGTCCACTTTCACATACTTCAGTTTGGTTTTAAGAAATTTGTCTCCTCTTTAAGAATTGGAGATGATTATTTTTGAAAACAAATAATATTATTCAGGTCCATCTGAAGTAAGCCTTATTGAGTTCAATACTTCCAAATAAGTGTGCGTAAGTCTACAAATCTGTGTCATTTCTTAGACTATCCCATTGGATATGATGAGACCTGTTCTTTCTGTTTCCTTTTCATCTGCTTTGGAGAAAGTAATGTAAATTATTTCCACATCAGATTTTTCTCTGCAATATTGCCAGATGCTTTAAACAGAGACAACACTGTTTAATTTTTTCTTTCTCCTTAGCGTTTAGTTTTGGCACCATGTAAATAAATCAATAGAATATGACAATAGAAAAATAACAAATAACAAATAGTTATCTTTCTGCTCTTCTGAACCAAATCTGCAAATGCTGGAAAACGTATTTCTTTCTCCGCCAGTGATAAGTCTGAAGTTACAGATGGAGAATATCTCAATATTGTCCTACAGACTGAAATATGTTCCATGGGAAAGCATCAAAAAGAACTCCCCGCTATTTCTAAAATTACACAAATATGCGTCCCGCCTGCGGGCAATTTAAACTGGGAAGAAAGTACAAAGTACAAAGAACTTGAGGCAGATATAGAAGAAGATAGAAAAATCTATATCATCACCAATTAAGTAAAATAAATGTGTCATGGGAAAATAATTAGAGTAGTGTGTCAGACAGATGTCCATAAACTGGAGAAAGCATTGTGCTTCATCACTATCAACAAGAACATGAATACATTAACTTATGTTTAAGGTTTTATTTTGGTATCTTTATGTTAGCATATTTAATGGGATACTTTCAATTTCTGCATAAAAGCTATTTTGGTGAAGGATCAAGGAAATGATGGCCCTCCAGATGTTGTGGAATGGCACTTTCAAGAGTCCCAGCCAACAAGGCCAATAGTGAAAGGTGCTAGAAATATAGCAGCTAAAAATATAACCATTAAAATAAAAATAACAGTTATGTAATACAATGTTATGTTTTCATAACACTGTATGAAAACACTGGTTATCCATGTGGCTTTATAGCAGCATGAAAGTCATACTATTTCCTTGTGGTTTGTTCCCTCTGAACATAGGCATTCCAATTAGCTACCAAGGGTCACAGCCAGTATTACCGTTAATGCTGTGTTAGGACTGAAACTAAGCATTATACCAAAGTACAAACAGAATGCTGCAGGTATCTGATAGGAAATGGAATGGAATCTCTTGCTAGAGAGTCTAAAATTTGCAGAAATTTTATCTGTATACTCTTGTCATGATCTTTAGCTGGGCAAAAAGGTGTATCATAGGACAACAATTTTTGAACCAAGATAAATCAAATGGGCTAATTTACCGAATGTATCCAAAATCCAGGACCCACAACTCCTGAGCGAATGAAATTTGGGGAAGTTGTGGCTGCTTCAGTGCTGGCTGCTGCTGCGTTGCTGGGCTGCTACTATAACCACATGATCTTTGGTTTCATTGTTCCATGATATTTCCCAAACCCTTGCGGGACAGGACAGGACAGGACAGAGAAAGAGAGGAGAGGGGAGGGGAGGGGAGGGGAAGGAAGATTTCCAAGGCTCCCTGCCAGATTCCCACAAGGAACTCAATGGGGAAGCCAGCAGGAAATCAGAAATTGCTCCTGCTCCCACTGCTTTTTTGCTCACTGTGGGTCATTCTGTTTCTCTGTTTAGGTGCGGAAGTATCTTGCCAATGGGGCAAGGGTTGTCTAATAATGCACTTCTTCCATCAAGCTGCTGGGAGGAAAGAAGTCAGAACTAATGAAAGCTTGCTTTAAGCAATTGTGATCATTCTTTGCAGACAAAGTTGAGCAGATCAATTTGTATTGATTTCAGTATTGGAGCAAGTTACAGACAATGATAATTGTCTGTCAAGTTTATATGATTGCCTTTGGCCATATGGAAGTAAATCTTGAGGATGTGGGAAGATTTGTGGAAAAACAAGGGTCATTGCTTGTTTACTTAACCCTTATCCTTCCTGGCTGATTAAGTCATCTTAGACTGGTTAAGGGAAGTGATTAACACTTTCTTCAGGCCAGCACAGATCCATCCTTGAATTTTCCATTCTCAGATAAAGTGGTTGAGAAAATGATATCCTTATAGTTCCAGCTGCATCTGAGTGAAAACTGGTTTTCTGGGTCCATTTCTACGGGGGTGATATTTCCAGTGTTGAAGATATAGTTTGTTTGAAATACTTCACACTTTGTTTCAACATTTCATATAACTAAGTTTGCTTTAATTAAGGTGAGGGTTATCACTGAGATGACACAAAGCAATGGAGACAATATATTCCCTTGACAGATTCCTCTTCTGAGGTTTACATTTCCATTTTATTCACTACTTACTATTAGCATTTTCCATTTTCCCCCCCACGCTTCTTTTACTAAATTCTGGCTGTTTCAATTCATGGGAAATATATTCAGATATTTTTGTACTGAGCTATGTGGAAGAGAACCAGATGCTCTTTTATTATCAATTTAAACCATTTGTAAGTTGTTTTTTCTTTGCTTGCATTTTTTTTTGTTTCTTTCCCCAGAATAGAAGCAATGAATTTTTGAACATGTAACCTGAAAGTACAGTTGCTTAATATACAAGTGACCAACTTAAACACTGTTGGCAATCAAGTAATTGGTTTGTAGTTGCCTACAGCCACACCCTTGTTGCTGTTATTTTTTGCTAAAAATATTTTACCTTTTATTATCCATTCTTTTAGCTTTTCCAGTTTGTAGAATTCTACTACTGTAAATTGAATAGTCAGTCTTTTATAGAGAGCCATCAGATGCTTAAGTCAAAATCCAACTGAACTTGCTATTTTCTTAGTACACTCCACTTCTTAGCTTTTTTGGTTTGCTTTTTAATCATTTCTGATATTATGATCATATCATTCATTTTAATTTGAGCCAATGTTTTTCTCAATCTCTTTTATCTATGTTGCATCTTTATTATGTTCTTTGGGATTCTCCCAGAGGTTGCTCCAAAATTTAACGTTTCACCTTTATCAGGGCAAGCATCTATGGTTGTATAGTATTTCCTAGAAATGTTTTATAAAATGGATGCTGGTTTGCTGATAACTACTGATGTCAAAATTGTCATTTTATTTAATATCATTTATTTTTCTTTGAACATAAATCATTGATTTAATTCTTCTGAGGTGTTCTTAATTGTCTTAGTTGATTTTATTATTTTTCAGTTTTCTGTCCTTCAGATTTTTTTAGATTGTTGATAGCATTTCTTATTATATTGATCATTTTTTTCCAATCAAACTTTCCAATTTGGTTACTAAGCTTTTGTTTTCCGGCCTTCTGTCCCAATTCTGGTGCTATACTATAAATCAATTGATTCATTTTAACCAAAACTAGAACTAAAAACTTTATTTCAATATTTTCCATAAATTTGCATCTTTCAAAACTTTTGATTTTGTTTTTAACTGTCTTTTTCAATGATGGGAGCAGTATAGTTTGAGTTTTTCATATGTTCAATTATTTTTTCAGTTGTATTTGTTGTCAGAGAACTGATGTTCAGCATTTGTTTGCTCTGGGTTTTTATCTATTTCTTTTATTTTTTAAATTCTTTTATTCTTCTCTAGTTTGATTTTTGACTTTTAACGTGTAAATTTTAGCTTTGTTTTTTAATTTTGTTTTTAACTGTGTTTTTAGTCATGTTTTATATTGTTTTATTATGTTGTTTGTAAACAGCCCAGAATCACTTAGATGAGATGGGCAGTATCGAAATTTGATTAAATAAATAAATAAATAAATTTCATCAACTTATTATCTGTCTCAGAAGTTAATAAAATGGAACGTTCCACTTCAAAAATTTCATTTCTTTGCTGACCTTCAATTTTATTTGTATAGTTGTTATCAATATTATTAGCATTCACAGCTAGTTTTTCCAATTTTTGCAACTTTGTATCTATAAAAGCCTTTTTTCAAGGAGAAATCTTTTTTTGACCCATTAATCACTGTTCATCAGTTTCTAAGCCTGAATATTTGCATTTCTATATATCCCAGCATGCTTTCTTTGTCATGTTGTCTTCTGCCTTATGGAACAGTCTTTGCCCAGAAATTCAGATTAACTTGCCCTTAACAGATTTCCAGAAAGGCATGAAGATTTGGGTTTTCCCTCAAGCACTGGAGTTGGGATATTAATGGAGCCCAGTGTGAGTTTATGTTGTCAGAAAATATTTATAGTGCTGTTGACTTGGTTCTTTTTAACTGATTTTGATTGTGTACTATGCTTCTGTTTTCCTGTTTGCCACCCAGAATTCCATTGGCTAATTATCAATTAATTAGCCATCAATTAATTAATTATCCATTAATTAAACCAACCAACAAATCAACAAACAAATGCTTTGTTAGAAGTAAAACAAATGTAAAATCATAAATTGGTAGCCAAGGCATGTTCTGATAAAACAGAAGATGAAAAAGTTCCGGCAAGCTACTGCCTTCTCTTTAACAGCTGAAGGTTAATATCTGAAAGCTCATAACATCTTTGTCCTAATGCATTTATAATGATTTACTGAAACGATTCTGTGGCTAAGGAACTATAGTCATGTTCTTGTGAATGAAGTGTTACATCCTTTGATAGCTTTAGGGATATCAAGGCTTCAGCTGATTGTTGATGATAATTTTACAAACTGTAATAAGGGTAAGGGCAATGTCATTAGTGTCAGTTAAGCTATTAATAACACCCATCGTGCCATTCCCAAATACCATAGCCTCATGAGCACACATTACTATTGCCTGCTAAGACAACATATTGTTGTGGCTGGTGAAAAACAAAGTGTAAATAGAAATGCATGCCTTAGACTTTATGTTTTAAAAATGTGCTCTGGATTATACATATTTGCTGCAGATTCCAGAATCCCCAGGGAACATGACATTTCTGGGAAGTATCAGATTGGGGAAGGCAACTCTTGATGCTGGCAAATGGCATTAACATCTCTTGTGTATTATATATATATATATACACACATGCTAATGTTTTTGTTTACATAAAACAAAAGTCTAAACAAATCTAAAGGGAGTGGTAAAACATTAAATGGATACAGAGGAACACAAAAGTTAGTACATGGCTAATGAAATCTGTCACAGTACAAGGTACTCTTAAATAACGTACTAGATGCTCATTGAGACTAGTTTGAGGAATCAGAACCCGGCAACACTGTGTGGTGGCAGGATTAGTGGCTGGAAGCAGGGAGATGTTGGTGTGTCCTGGGTATTTATACAGTAATCATGAAATGATGCTAGTATGAATGTCTCTGTAGTACAGGCATTGGAGCTGTACATGCTCTGTTGTTTTTACATGCCTAGAGTCACAGGGGCATTTATTTATTTATTTATTGGTTCGATTTATATGTCACCCTTCTCCGGAGACTCAGGGTGGCTTACAATGCATTAAGCAATAGCCTTCATACTTTTGTATATACCTGCTTTGTAGGGCTTTTGGCCCCCCCTAAGCGGTGTTCTTTTTTATACAAAGTCAGCTTATTGCCTCCACAATCCGGGTCCTCATTTTACCTATCTCGAAAGGATGGAAGGCTGAGTCAACCTTGAGCCTGGTGAGATTTGAACTTGCAGTAATTGCAGGCAGCTGGTGCTACTTTAACAGCACTTAGTCAGCTGCGCCACCAAGGCTCTTCATTGTCTCTCCGAATAAGGAATCTTCCTTTATCAGCCTTCAAGGTTATCTGAAGGGAGGACATGACATCATGCCAGCGTAAAGGCCAGTGGTTAGGTATTTCAAGGTTAATAAAATATGTCTTGGGAGAAGCAGAGTATCTATTGCATTCACTGGCAATAAAGTTCGGAGTTCTGGCAAAGTCCAATTGCCACCCTGTATCTGGTACACACTATTTAATGAGACCTTTGGCCTGATCATATCCCATGCTGTGTAAAAGACTTGGGTAGTAGAGCAAGACGATTAGGGGACTGGAGACTAAAACATATGAAGAACGGTTACAGGAACTGGGCATGGCTAGTCTAGTGAAGAAAAGGACCAGGGGAGACATGATAGCAGGGTTCCAATACTTGAGGGGCTGCCACAGAGAGGAGGGGGGTCAAGCTGTTTTCCAAAGCACCTGAAGGCGAGACAAGGAATAATGGATAGAAACTGACCAAGGAGAGATTCAACCTAGAAATGAGGAGGAACTTTCTGACAGTGAGAACAATCAACCAATGGAACAGCTTACCTTCGGAAATTGTGGGAGCTTCATCACTTAAGGCTTTCAAGAAAAGACTGGATTGCCATTTATCAGAAATGGTATAGGGTCTCCTCTTGAGTGGGGGGGTTGGACTAGATGGCCTATAAGGTCTCTTCCAACTCTCTTAATCTGTAAAAGTTTAATTGCTACTGCATTCTTCCATGTGGACTGAAAATCATCCTTCAAAGTTAGCGGAGCAAGGCCAAAGGGAAATAAAGATAGCTTGAGCCAGTAGTTGGGTATGGTCACTCTCACTCAAGCCTTCACTTTCATGGAGCATCCAGTTTTGGTCACCATATTTTAAAAATAATATGTTGAGACTCTGGAAATATTGCAACGAGAGAGAGAGAGGCGGAGCCTGGACCATCTGTCAGCCCTTAGATGGAGAGTCAACAGCCCCCAAGTCTGGAGGTGGCTGATGAGGAAGAGGAGGAACAGCTGAGTCCAGTGCTTGACGTGTGGATGTGCAGAAGGCAGAGAAGAGGAGAGCAGTGGAAATCTATGGGCTGGTCCTTGGGATGGAAGAGCCACCTCTGCTAATGAAGCCCTACCCTAGCTCTGGGGATAAAAGGCAGGGGGCGGAGATGAATAGATGTGGCAGACAACCGGACGGTCTTGTTAGCTTGTGTTGAGAGAGAAACTTTTTGCCGGGGCTGCCAGCACTCCTAATTAAAGGAAGCTTTGAGTTCACTTCAGAGGGTTTGTCGTGTTTGGGGAGCTGGGTGATAACAGCTGGAGACTAAAACATATGAAAAATAATTGCCAGATTTGGGTATGTCTAGTCTAGTGAAAAGATAGACTAGGGATTACATGATAGCCGTGTCCCAATATTTGAGGGGCTGCCACAAAGAAGAGGGGTTCAACCTATTTTCCAAAATACCAGAAGGCAAAACAAAAAACAATAGATGGAAACTAATCAAGGAGAGAAGCAACCTAGAACTAATGAGAAATTTCCTATGAGTGATTAACCCATGAAACAACTTGCCTCCAGAAGTTGTAGGTGCTCCATCACTGGAGGCATTTAAGAAGAGACTGGGCAGCCATTTGTCTGGAATGATTTAGGGTTTCCTGCTTGAGCAGGGGATTGGACTAGAAGACCTCCAAGGTCCCTTCTAACACTCTTGTTATTCTATTATTTTGTTATTTTGAGGCCCTGGATTGTCTCTAGTCTCATGATGGTATTAGAGCAGTGATGAAATGCTACCGGTTCGGACCGATTCGGCCGAAATGATAACGGCAGCGGCAGGTGGTTCGGAGAACTGGTAGTGGCGGCAGTGCGAGGCTCTGCCCACCCACCCGGTCATCGTTACTTCCTGGTTTTAATCGGAAGTAACCTTTTTTTTACCCTTTGCGCATGCACAGAAGACTTTGCGCATGCTCAGAGGGTCCCAAATTGCACCTGATGCAAGCATGCGCGGAACGCGCACTTCTGAACCAGTAGGGAAGGTTAGTAGATTTCACTCCTGTATTAGAGATACATTTTGGGACTTGAAGACCGATCTTAAAAATTTAGATCGAACAAGTTGCAATTGTACGAAGTTGGAAAAAGGGTCCAAAGGAGCACTGTAAAGAAGTTGGCTTAGCTTTGAAAAGTTTCAGTGCTGCAGGAATGTAGAGGCTACCTCTTGTCTTGAGAAATTTGAGACAGTTGAGTTCTTCTGTACATTTTCAGCCACGTAGTCCCCATTAGGTTTAGAAATGATTTATTGGCATATATTTTCCTGTATTTTCAATTGAAGGATATAAAAAATTAATGAACAATGTATGTAAAAATTTAAACATGGACTTTTGACAATATATATACTTATCTGTGTAGGCATACATGCATTAGTCTATCAAAGAAAATCCCTTCCTAAATGTCAAGATCACTATTAAAACCAAGTCTCATTTCTTAGGTATAATTCATTTCCTACAGGAATGTTCAGTTTTGGCCCTGAGTATTAAGTGTAATAACTGAAGTCTTAAAGGCCCCAAATTTAATGTTGTGTGTTACATAAAAAACATGGTCAGCATAGGACGGAAGTGAATGTTTGTAAATGTTGTTCCGGGAGCTATGTTTTGAATGAAGTAAAACAGAAAGGATTTCTTAACCCTGTGACAATCATAATTGGGTAACTCCTGTGATCATCATTGCTTAGTGGCTGCAAAGCAGAAAATGAAGACTGTAAAAATGTCACATAAAGAAAAATGCAGAATGGGTTTAAAATGCCTTTAAGTAGCTGGAAGAAATATAATAAATGTTTTTCTGCAACATTGATCATACTGTATCAAAGGAAATATTAGTGTGCAGGGAGTCATGATTATCTTGGCAGTAATTCTCAGAGTCAGGAA